GCCAGCAAGGAGCTCTGTGTCACTGCCAGTGCCAGCCCAGGATGCAGGGCTCTGCTCTCGCTGTGGCAGGTGACCCATGGGACTCCCAAGGTTTCCAGTCTGTCCCCACACGGTGATGGGAGCTCACAACAATTACAGGCTTCCTGCATGTCCAGCCTGTGGGGTTTTGTCACACATGATGTCCCACATCTGGGACTCACCAGTTGGAGATGGCAGTGCTATTTCCATGTTGAACTGTAACTTTTTTACCCCCAGCCGTTCCAGGGCTTACAACTATTGTGTGGGGTTTTTAGTGTTGCAAGAATTTATATTGGGAAAAAAGTGCTTTTTTTTTTTCTCTATGCCTTGGGAAATGTCATCCAGCAGGAATGTTCCCAAGAGCTGATCATGGCTGAGAGAAAGATGGGTTTGAGCAGGGGCTGCATGCCCAGCTCCCATCCCTGTCCCAGTCTCCCAGGACTGGCTCACAGGGCTGTGGCTCCCTTGGGTGCCCCATCCGTGCTCCTCAGACTCTGCCCCGTGGTCCTGAGGGACATCTGCAGCACCAGCAGCAGAGGCAGGAGGGAGGGAGCAGATGCCTGGAGAGGGACAAGCTGCTCACAAAGCCACTCCTGCTGCAGAGGCTCTTGGTTTCATGTCCTCTTGACTGTGCCAGTGGCCTCTTCCACTTCCAGCTCTGGACGGAGCTTACAAGAAATGCTGGAAGTCCCAGCCCTGTGATGTGTCATCATTCAAACTTCTCTTTTATAGCATCCCAAAGTAATTTATTTTTCCCAAACATCAAAGCCCCCTGAGCAATGCTGGTTGAGGCAGGGCTTCCCCCCAAATTCCGGTGGCTCCTGCACCCCTCTGCCCTGCCTGGGGGCTGGACGCCCTCCTGGGCTGTGCTGGGGAGAGCGATGGTTTCAGGTGGGGCCGTGGGGCCAGGGGAGGCAGAGCTGTGCCACTGCATGCAAGATGAGAAGACAGATCTTCCCCTGAAAACACAAGTGAGATAGATATGGATTGCCCTGCTGTGAGGGTGCTGATGCCTTTTCCAGGGTCAGCATCACATCACAGACCACTTTTAGGAGCAGGTACCAAGGGAAAAAGAATAGTAATGAGAAAGAAATAGTGAGGAGATGCGAGTCTGCATCTCCTTCTCCTCTGCCAGGATTCAGTGCCAGGGGCACTGGGGAGGCAGGCAGAGCATCTCCTCAGTTGGATCTCTGAGCTCAGGGATCCCCTTATTCCCCAGTGCTGCTATCTTCCCCAGCTGCACGAGTTTTTGTAGAGGGAATTTTACAGAAAAATTGCAGCAGCTCCTGCCTCTACAAACACAGCATGCTGCTGTCTCTGCCAGCACTCCATGCTGGTTTGCCTCAAGGAATCTGTGACATCCGTCCTGCTGTGATCTGTAACAATATTGGGATTAAATTAGCTTCCCTGAGCTGCGGAGAGGTCAGTGTGTAAGGCCCCTGGTTAATCCAGCAGGCCAGAGAGAACAGAAGCCTCCCTGCATTGGGAAAGGAAAACAACGGGGTCTGTTTGCAATCCATGTGGCTAATTCAAACAGCATTCCTCAAACAACAGGGGAAAGGGCCTTCGGAGCGAATGGGAAAGGAGCATTTCCCAACACGCACATAATGTTGCTCCTCAGGGAGAGGGGAAATGTCCAGACTGCACGGATGAGCAGCCAGAAGACATGTCAGGCCCAGGAAAAGGGTCTGGATAGCCAGGCAGCTGTGGGGCACACAGGAGCTACCCCTGCCCTAGAGCAGGCCAGTCCTGCTGGCCCACAGGGCAGGGGGGTGCACATCTGGGGCAGGATGGGGCATCTCAGCCCCACCTCTGGGATGACAGGGTCTCACTCTCCTGTCACCTACAGATACTTTTACACTGAAGGAATTTGCGTGGCTCTGCAGCTTGTGGCTCTCAGCACCAAGCTGGGATGACGATCTGGGGACAATCCCAGATGGAGACACTTCCATCCCAGGCCAGGCTGCGAGTGTCACTGCCTCTGAGCACTGCCCATGAGCAGCACGGACTGGATGGAAGCCCAGCTTGCTTGGGAAACAGAGGCATGCCTGGGTGATCCTATCAGGAAGTCAGCTCCACATCCTCTGGCTCTCACATCTCCTGTAGAAGGCGAGATCCTGGTGCCCCCGTGCCTGACCCCCAGTGCAGGCTGTGCAGCCCTGCCAGGAGCTCAGCCAGAGTTAAGGGTCAGGCACTGGCAGAACTGTGCTCCTGAGACTCGGGCTGCTGATGTTCAGCTGTTATTACAAACAATTCCTGGGCTATCTGTCATGCTGCAGCAGAGAACCCTCAGAGCAGCAGACCAGAAAAGACCTCGTGTCCAGTCTGGGAGTGCCACAGACACTTCAGGACATACTCGCTTTCCTTCTGCTTTCTCTGTGATTGTCTTTTCTGCTTTTTGCTTATGCTGAGATATTATCAAAGGCTGATGAGGCACTAGGGATGAGTAATGCACCTTCTGTGCCAGCTGGGAATTTGTAGGCACTGGTAGGGTTAATGTGAGTCTGAAAGAAGCTGTGGTGCTCAGTGCTGGATCTGCTTGGTGCAGACCTGGCTACACCCACAGCCCCTGTCCTCAGTTGCACCAGAGGCAAGGGACAAGGCTCCTGGTAGTCCTTGCAGTTCCTGGGCAGCGTCAGCTTTCCAGGGAGACCTCTTTTCCCCTCTTTGAGAGAGGCAGAGAGTTTTGCAAAGCAGGAACTACAGAGGGATGAGATTGGACCAAAATATTGCTGTTTTTTGTTGTAGAGGAGGACCACATACTTTAAGGGTGGGCTAGGGGATGTGCAGGAATTGGCACTTCCTGTGCAGAAGCAGAGTGGGGTTCTCCCCTCAGCTTTGTGCAGAGCCACTGTGCCCATGTCCCAGCCAGAGGAGCCCAGGAAACCCACTGTGGGTGTCAAGGAACCCTCTGCTTTCAATCTGGAGTGGCTTGGCATCTTATCCTGCTAAAACAGGGAATTTCATGTCCTTTTGTACAAGAGGAGAGAAACAACCTGTTTGGGATTAATTTAGGATCAGCTTCAACAGCCATTAGCTAAAGAAAACCAAGCCTGTAAATGGGCTCCTGTCACAGGGGGAAGAAATGTAGGACTTGGTGCTGTATTTATTGTTCAGGGTGTTAAGGCAGGTTTTAGTGTGATTTACCATCCTCTGCAATGACACCTCTGGCACCAGGGAGCTGTGAGCATGTCCCTCTGCTCTGTTGGCTAATTACTGCTGTGCCAGTAGCCCTGCTGCTGCATCTGGGTCTGCCAGCATTGCCAGTACAGAGCTCTGACTTTGGGGTTTATTGCTCAGTTAGAAACTTGATCTACACCTGTCAGCTGAGGCTGCACCACTCCAGTGTCAGAAAGGAAGTTTGGCTGTTCGGTGTGCATGGAATACAAATCTTGGGTTCATCAGATTTTTTACTCATACAGTCATTGGAGTAATGTTGTCCCTGACATTTGGTGGTAGTTAAGAATTTCGTAGAATAGAAAAGTAGAAATAGAAAATAGAAAAATAAATAGAAATAGAAGAAGGTCTTAGATATGGAGACTTGCAGCAGTGACTGCTCAGCATCTGCCAACAAGCAGCACGCATTCCCAACACTCCCGTGAGCTAGCAAAGATCTCAGTGGCATCATTTATAAATAGGAAACGAGGGACATTTAACAAGGTGCCAAGGAAAATTCAGGATGAATAAAACTTCCATGTATACGAGCACTAACACACACAGCACAAAGGAAAAGCTGCAGAAATGGTGAGTTTTCCCTTTTGTCTGTGTTTGGGCTATTTTGCATCTCTGTGTTCAGAGCTGCCCACACACAAGCGCTGTGTATGGCCGAGAAGATGATGGTGTGTGAAGAATTCATGAGGCTCTCCGAATCTCTGTGTCTGGGGGGCTCTTGATGCCATGTTCTGTATCCATACCCTTGCCCTCCTCTTCCTCAGGGCTGTCGGGTCCATACCAAGTCCCAGTGAGCACGGCCAGGCTCATGCCAGCAGCTCTCAGGGATACTCAGGGACCTCCCTTCAATGGGAGCTCATGGGCAGCAGTGTTGAAGGGGAACTGCCCAGCAGGGGATCCAGGAGGGATTCAGGAGCCACCACAGAGCTATTCACATCATTTGAAAGAGCCTGGGCCCTCTGGCTTCAGCTCAGAGCCCTGCTAGCTTGGGGAATGTCCCCCAGGAGTCTGTGGGCATGTCATGCCAAGGGGCTGCCTGGCAGGTTGTCACACGCCCCTGGGACAATTGGCCAGGGCACCAGGGCTCTGGGCAGAGCCCCATGGTCTTGAGCATCACATCAGCCCTGTGAGAACCAGGGATGAGGGTCAGTCATGGCTGGGAGCCAGCAATGCTGGCCCTCAGGGGGCTGGTGGCCACCAGCTGCTGTGCGTGGCTTGTACAGGAACACTGGGCCAGGGTCCAGCCTGGCTCCCAGGAACACCTGATCTGCTCATCCCACCAGGCATGGCGGGGCTCAGGAAGGTGCCTGAGCACTAATGTTCCCTGCTCACCTGCACCAAGTGGGGTCTCCACGTGTCCATCCTGGAGTACAGATGGAGGAGGGAAAGAGAGCTGGCAGAGCAAGGAGGAGAGCTCCCAGGCTGCTCACATGTGCTGCAGGGCAGGTGTCCCAGGCAGCCCCACTGCAGCCACGCTGTTCTCCTGAGCAGGATGGTTTCCTCCTGCTGCACAGCCAGCAATGGAAAAACAACCAGGCTCTGAGCTCCTCGCCTTCATGCCTTCCCCCCTCCAGAGGATAATAAGCTGCTTTTAATATCTGACATGTTTATTAACAGATGCAGTTGTGACAGCTGATGACTTCATATGCCACTTACCACTAAAATGTTAGTAATAACTCGGAATTAACTGTCATAAATAAAAAAGACTACAAAGACAACTCGATGGTGTGTCACTCTGCAGTAATTTACTGAGACCCTGTTGGCTCTGGATGCGAGGCTGGAAGGTCCTTTGTGGAGCTCCAGTCCGGGTTTTGCAACAGTCACAATATTTTGGCTGGATATTGTCTTAGGAGGTGGTACTAGTGGGGTGGAATTCCCTCATGCAGGAGTTTGCACTGGATGCCTTTACAAAGCTGGATACTCTGGTAATAATAATAATAAAAAGCCCCTACCCAGTGGATGGGGACGGAGTCTACGGATTGAGACCAGGATTTATTAATGTGCAAATTGCTCTGATATGATCACATACTTTCTGCTTTGCATACGCAGGGAGCAGCGTGGGCTGATGGAGTAGGAACTAGCCTGAGCGATCTTTACGAGCTGAGATCCTGCACATCGCAGAAGGGTTTGTTTCTCTGTGCAAAACCTGGGACCCTGTTAGAAACCTGCTTTAAAAAACAAGTGACCAAAATATCCAAATGCACCAGACTTCGCCATGAACTCGCCATGAATATATTTTTCATTTTTTTTGACAGAAACGTGTGTGTAACTTTCTCTGGAGGAACTGAGGAATTTTGTAGTTGTTCTTATAGTATTTTAAATCTGAGCACCCAGTAGAGTCTTTTCTGCAGTGATGAGGGAGTGACAAGTTGAAGGTAAGGGCTTCAGCATGCATGTTTGTGTCGATGGAGCTTTTGCAATGTGGGCTGCTAATGAAGAACGCGAGCCGTGTCAGCATCTGACTGCGGGTTTGCCTTGTGCAACGTGGATAATGAGTTCAGACAATGAGAGCCGTGCGAAATCACAGCACGATCTGTGGGATCCCCTTTCTCCCCCCTCTCCCCAAGGTGTGTGGGGCTTGCAGGGAAGCTGGGCTGCTGCGCGTGTCCCCTGCCACCGTGTCCCCTTCCCGTTGTGGGGAAGGGGAAATGGGGAGCCGGTCAGGATATTGATGGGCTCACTGGAGCTCGTAACTGATTCTGGACCTGCAGTGGGTGGCCGTGCCCTGCTGCCCTTCCACTGATCCAGGGACATGGGGCAATGGGAGGACGGGACAGTTAATTTGCTGCTGTCTCAGTACTGCTGTGGCTGCAGCTAAGCCAAGCCTCCTGCCACGCACCCATGGGGGCACAGCAGGCTCTGGGAGAGCACGGGGTAAGTACGGGCTCTGTGGAGGTCTGAATGGATGATCAGTGGAGAAAGAGTGAATAGGGATTATGGCAACAATTAGCCGTGGTGTGAGCAGCTGGTGCTGATGAGCAGGGGAAGTGCTGCTAGCGGATCCAGTGCTGGCTGCCATGGGTCAGTGCGGGCTCCCACAGCCAGGGCGTGGGTCAAGGTGGCTTCAGCCTCAGTCCTCTGTGCTGATGGAGCCAGGTGTTATGTGATGGGGGTGGGGGTGACTGGGGCTTGGTCACCCCTGGGCTGCTGCAGTATTTTATAGGCTCAGGCATGCGTGTTCCCTTGAACGGTACAGAGGTGGGGGTGCTCAGTTGATGCAGTTTGGGTTTAAAGAGGTACCTTACGGTAAAAGACATTAAAATAGGGTAATAGTGGCAGAAGAAAATTCTGCATGACAAGGCAGCCTCCACTCTGCTGCACAGGGGTCAGTGGGTCCCCACACAAAAAAATCCTGTCACATGAAGGTCTGTGAACTTGGGGGCAGTGCTTACAATGCTGTTTGGGGCAGCCGGGTCTGTGCTGAAATCCTGTAGGGACTGGGCACGTGCAGTGAAACATCTGCCCAGAGGGTTCTCTGGAGTGATTTTATCTGAAGTCCACTGGTGACCTGGGAGCAGGTGAACTCCTGACTCCATCCACCCACCCTGCTGTGGGGCCAGGACTGTGGAGGCTGGGTGGGAGCACGGCAGCAGCACTGCGGGCCTGGGAATGCCAATGCTGCAACATGCCTGGAAACCACCCTGGAAAAAAGGCTCATTTCAGCTGGATCAGCTCCCTGGCCCCTGCTTGGCCGCTGCCAGAGCAGCAGCACCACCCTGAGGGATGTGGCAGGGAGGAGCTGGGGTGCTCTGGAGATACAGGGCCAGTGAGCCCCTGAGCACAGCCAAAACCAGCCAGCTGTGCTGGGCAAGCATAAACCCCACATTTCTATCAGCTGAGCTAGATGTGAGCTGGCATAGCTCTTCCTGGACTGTGAGGCTGGGGCTGGGATGAGCAACAGAGCTGAGGGCCAGGTCAAACCTCCTGACCTATGGGGACAGCTCTGGAGTGGGACAGACAGGACCATGCAAGTGAGACAGGTGGCACTGGCAGCAGGGACCCTTCCCCTTGTGAAGTGTGAGGGTGACATGTCATCTTGCCAAGGATGGAAGTGCTTGTCTTTGCCTAAAACCTGGCAAATACCAACAGGTTTCCTGTCATACCCACCACCAGCCTGCCTCCAGGAAGATCCTCTGGGACTGCACCTCACATGCTCATGGGCAGCGGGGCAGCGTGGGTTGGCTGTGGGATGTCTTTCATTGCAAACCACCTGAGCACTGCCAGGCCTGCAGAGCTCAGAACTTGCTCCCCGTGTTGTGGTGGTGCAGGGGGCTGTCATCCCACAAAAGGGCAGAGCTTGGATGGGCTCATTCCAGGCTGGCAGCAGCAACTGGTCTGGAGGACACCCTGTCTGCCTGCTCACTCCCTCTTGCTCTGTCCTGCCACACGCCCAGAGCTGAGGCTGTGGGTTATTTTTCCCAGTTTGTTTTCCTCTGCTGCTGGAGTTGGTGCTACTCCTGGCTCTTCAGAGCTCAGGTTTCCCTGGCAGTGATGTCTGGGAAAGCCAGAGCACCGGGAATCCCGTCAGGAAGCTCTGCTTGGCAGATGGTTCCTGTGCCCATGGCCAAGCAGAAAGCCTCAGGTGCTGCTCTGCCCTGGGCTTTGGACTTTGGCTCTGCCTTTGCAGCTCAGCACAGCACATCGTAGCTCATCGGGCCCCTGTGAGCCTGGAAATTTGTGTTTACAAAGCAGGCAGGGTCTGTGGTGGAAGGAAGTGTAAGCCCTTGTTTGCATGCATTTCCACAGAAATAAGAGGGAAATTGCGTATTGAGCTGAATGTGTGCACTTGTTGTAGGATGAGCCTCAGCACCCCTGACTGTGCTTCCCAGTTTGCATCAGACCCCCCTGCTCCCCCACCCCTGGGGCTATACCTGACACGGTGTGTGTCCACTCTGCACCTCCTGGGACACCTGCTGAGCATGTCCCTGCTTAGCAATGGGCCTTTAGGGAGCCCTTTTTGTGGGAAGAGACAGATTTTCAGTGCCCTGGTCTGTGCTACCCTGAATTGGGCTGTTCTTTCCTGGTCTGAAATTTGGTTGTTCTGTCCTGGTGAGTTACTGATTTGTAGGAGGCTCAAAGCCACTACAGCTGTACCTAACAGACACAGGTTTGCTGCTCCCCTGACTGCAGTCGGATCTCCAGGCACAGAGCTGTGCCTGCCAGGATGATTCCAGTGCAATTCCAGATGCTGCTCTGGTTCTGTGGAGAAGCAGCAGGCATGGATCCTGCAGCCTGCCTCAGGGCTCTGCCTCCTCCTCCTTCTCCAGAGCAGCATGCTGCCTCTGCGCTGGCATGAGGGCCATGGGAATCCCCCTGTAAAACATTTCCTGATGTTTTACAGTGCTGAAGCACAAGCACTCCTGGAGGGAGGCCTGTGGCACTATGGATCACAGCGTTTCTTGGAGCAGCTACTGTGGGGGCACTGCACGAGGCGGGCGAGGAGCCAGGGCTGGAGCTGCAGGGGCCGAGGTGCTGCTGACCCTCGGAGCAGCTCCCACTGCCAGGCCAGGGCAGGGGGATGACCATGAGCAGCAGCCTCTCCTCAGCGTATTCCCGATCCTGGGTCACAGCACGGCTCCGCAGATCCGGGGAATGCAGTGCAGGAGCTAGTGGAAGAAGTCAGACCTCAACAATGCTGTGGATAGCTCTGCTGCCAGATTGGGCTTTATTATTTTATTTTTTCAGTGAAGTTTATGGGTTGGGGATTTTGCAGAACTTGGCACTGGGATCCAATATCAAATGAAGACCTTCTGGTTCGGAAATTTGACTTAATGCAGCCGTCTTTTATTGCTTCAAGGATTAAGCAGAACAAAGTGGCTCTGCCTGTGCATGTGCGGAGATGTTTGCCAGAGGTACGTGAGACACCCTGTGGCAGCTCTGATGGCCGAGCCAAGTGTGGTGGGACCTTCCACTGCGGAGAGTTTCACAGCACTGCTCCTGGAACATTAGCCCTGCCGACAGGAAAACAGTCCTCGGGAACACAGCAGAAGAGAGGGACTTTCCCAAAGAGAATGAGGGCCCAAACCCACTCCCTTCAGCCCTTCCCTCCCGTGGCAGGGCTGGCGGAGCAGGCAGGAGCTCTGCTGTGGGGTCACCAGGGCAGGGAAGTAGGGCACAGGGAGCACCATGACCATCCCTGTGTGCCTCTGGGACAGGAACAATGATAACCAGGTGCCATCACTGGTGTTTGAGGTGCCTGTTGAAAGCTCCACAAAGGCAGGCTGGGGAACGAGCTGGCAGCGTGGGATTGCTGCTGCCACTCACAACCTTCTGGAGCCAGATCCTGCCCTGGGGCTGGGAGGCCTCGGTGTGTCCCAGGTGCTGTCCCCTGGTGAGGGGCTGGGAGATGAGTGACCAAACTAACCCAAGTGAGACCCTGCAAAACCATGACTCCTCCTGCAGGAAGCCAGTTTGTGCATATTTACGCCCCTCGCTGACTACCAAGAGGAAATTCAAATTTCCTATCCAGTTCCAGGACCTGGAAACCCAAATTCCCCACCTCACAGCAGGTGCCCAGCTGGCTGTTGGCAGTGACCTGGCAGTTCCCAGGGTTTCATTCCTACTGCTGCTGTAACCAGGTTTGTCCTGCCTCCAGCATCTGGTCCTTCTCTCCAAGGCTCAGTAAACCTTTGGAGAGCCTGTTTACATTTCGGATCCCTGGTACATTCAGCAAGAGGCAATATATCAGCAATTTAGTTATTGTGGATTAGGTCTCAGATATCCTGGGGATATAATGTTGGTCTTTCTCACCTTGTGTGTAGGAGGACTAATGGCAAATTATCTGGATGGTTTACATTTTCTGGTTTGTATTGGAGCTCCCAAGGACCAATTTATCCTGATTGAATTGCAAACAAGGCTTAGTGCCATCTCAGATTCAAGGGGCCAGGTCTCTCCATAAATGAATTCAGAGCAATTCAGGTTACCCCAAATTCTTCTTGTAGATGGGATAATGGCATAAATCCTGCTAATGTTTAGACTGGAAATTGTTTGTAGCAACCTGAGCTTGACTGATGGCTGCAGTAACAGAAAGAATCATAACTTGTGTCCTGTGGTGAGGGTGGGAAGAACTGCAGTCCAGCCGGACGGCTCACCACAAACCCCCAGGTGCTCATGGGGAGGATTTGGAGACCTGTGTGTGACCTGCCAAGACACTGACTCTGCTGCACCTAGAATGCCAGTGGCCTTTCTGCACTGAGGCAGCAGCTGTGGCCAAGCCCAGACTCTCTTTGGCGAGAAAGCAAGGAAACAAGGAGGATAAAGTGTGTACTTGCTGGGTTTATGGTGCGGTCTCAGGGTTTCCCATGGCACTTCCCTGCCCTGGGCTGCCCAAGCCCTCAGAAATGGGGTGCGTGGTGATGGCACCAGCTTCACACTGGCTCTTGGCACGCTGGGGCTGTGTTTGCTCCCTCTGGACATCCATCCCTGCTGCTGTCCCCACGCCGGGGATCTGTGCCCAAACTGTGAGTGTTGTGTAAACACGGTGTGTGCTTCCTGTGAAGCCGAGGTAATTAAAAACCGGGGGCTGGCAGAGCGAGCAGCACCAGGGTCCCTCCGGAGCCGCTGGCACTCACTCGGCTGGTGCTGCACTGGGCCTGCTCACACCCACTGCCATGCCCAGGGTCCTGCGGCCGTGCTGGCCATGGCTGGACTCTCCCACACCAGCTGTCCGGAGAGCCCCTCCTGACCCGCTGCTCATCAGGTGCCCAAATGCAGCAGAGCTGTGGGGATCCCTGCTCTGCACAGCTCCCTGCTCCGTAAATACTCCCGCAGCCTGGCTTAAGCGCTTGACAGTGTTTATAAAGCAGCTTGCAGCAAACAGGCTTGGAAGTGCAGAACAAGTTGGTGTTTACACAAGTGACTAATTATTTATTTGAAAAGCCTGTGGACGAGCCGTGGGCTGTAACGACAAGCACATGGGGAGTGCTGGGCTCCTGCCCCAGCAGTGGCAGCAGGGACACGGTGAAAAGTTCAGAAGCACCGGGGTGGGGAGATGGTGGCGATGGCCCCACAGAGCCCGGTGGCCCCACAGAGCCCAGCTCTGGTGGCACAGGTGAGCCAGGAGGTGCCCACACCAGGCACAGCTCAGTGTTCATGCCCTGTGCTGCCACAAGAGCCAGCTGTACCCGGGTCACATCTCCCTACAGCAGCTGCCGGCCCACGCCTGCTGCTGGGGCAGCCCCCTCGCTCCAGGTGTTCAGCGTGTGGCCAAAACTCCCCTCAGGAACCTGCTTGGGCCTTCAGCAGGGCCCCCAGCCAGGGTGGGCCAGGGAGGGGATCGGACCCCTGGGGACCCAGTCCATCCCAGGCTGAGGCCGGGCTCACTTCCAGCACTGTTGCCACCAGTTGTTTGGGGCATTGGTGATTGCGCAGTTATTATAAAGGGATTAAAACAATTTTCTGTTTCATTTGACTTCACAGAGCAAATGTTGTCGCCTTTATTCCAGCACAATGTCCGCCGTTGGCAGGGCTTTGCTCTGCCCAGCTGTGGAGGGGAGTGGGGCCTGGCCTGGCAGTGCCAGATCTCTCGGTGCAGCATGGAACTTGCTGTGCCTCACACCGGGCACAGGGGAAACCGCTTGAAAACTATGGGGGAAATGCCCTGTCAGCAGCCAGCTGGAGCAAGGCCTTGGGTGCTCTCAGGAGAAGATGGTACATGTGGAGGCTTGGGTGCTGCCTGGCCATTGGGCAGCCGGGCTTCCCCTCTCTCTCCAGAAATTCCTGCACAGCCGTTGTTTTGCTGCCCGGCCTGTCCTGCTGGTGCTGCCATCTCCTCCCTCTGTCCTGCTGTGTACAGTGGGCTCTGCACCCTGGCTGGGTGAGGGTGGCGTGGTGCTCGCAGACGGGCTCGCTGCCCCACGCCAGGCTCTGCCCCATGCCAGGCTCTGCCCCAGGCCAGGCCCACTGCCCCACACCAGGCTCTGCCCCACTCCAGGCTCTGCCCCATGCTCGGTTTACTGTCCCACAACGAGATCACTGCCCCATGCTAGGCTCACTAACCCACACCAAGCTCACTGCCTCACACCGAGATCACTGCCCCACGCCAGACCCACTGCCCCACACCGAGCTCACTGCCTCATGCCAGGCTCACTGCCCTACACTGAGATCACTGCCCCACACCCGGCCATCTCTGCCACTGAGCCTGGCACAGAGCAGCTCCTGCACTCAGCTCTGTGCAGGCACTGCTGACCCTGCCCTTCTGCTTCAGGGAATGGGAGATGGGAGGTTTGGAAATTCTCTTGGAGCAGAAACTCAGCGTTTTGGGCAGTTTGTGGAGGATCCCACCCTGTCCCCAGACAGCCCCAGCCTTGGCTGGGGACTGCAGCTCTCTGTTAGGCTTGACTACCAGCCCCAGAGGTGCCCACTTGATGGGAAACATCTTGTGTGCCTGGCACCCGCAGCAACCATCTGCCGCTTGGGGAGGGCAGCCCAGGGGTCTGGCTCTATTTTAAACAAGTTCCAGCTATAACTACTGTTTGCAGTACTGGCAGATGGCAAAGATGCACTGGGCATTTCGACAGGTGCTGATTATGAGCAACAGGGACTAATGGATGAGGCTGGAGCACAGTTCTCCTCAGACCACTTGGGGTGCCACTATCTGCCAGCACCCTCCAGTGCACCCCACAACCCCTGTACTCGCCCCCAGCCATTGTGGGAGCAATACTGTCTGTCAAGTGAACCTGTTCTCCTATTCTTTTGCAGTTCCTGCCAGCGTACCTGGAAACTGTGACCAGCTAACACCCACTGCCGAGCCCCCAATGGGACTAGGGCTGCGCTCCTGCACTCCTGACAGGGATGAAGGTAGAGCCATGTTACCTGCTACCTAAGCTCGTTGGTGCTGCTGTAGTTTGTGGATATGGTCCCAGACCTGGCTCTGTGCACAGACTCTCAGCTCTGATCCCACCCAAGAGGATTTAGCGGCAGCAGAGACCCCAGCTGTGGAGCACACTCCCCCAAACACCCCGTGACGGAGGGGCTGCAGCGCTGGAGAGTTACTATGCAGCTTGGACTGCTTGTGGTGGTGGTTTTTCTAAGCTCGATGGATCTAACAGGCAGCAGCAAAGTGGTGAAGGGCAAGAGGCAAAGACGAAGTATGTATGAAATGCTTTTCTTCTCTATTCCTCTCATGATGCCATGAAGGTCATGCTGGTGTGAATGTGTTTATAAGACAGGGAGCTGGGCAGGGCCTGCAGTACCCCAAGAGCCTGCAGAGATCCCCCAGTTCCACTCCCTATGTCCCCTGACCTGCCACAGCTCTGAGCTGCAGTGTCCCCTGAGGTCACGGGGGGGGTCAGTTATGCCTCCAGCCCAGAGGGTCCCTGGTGGGGCTCGTGCAGGGCAGCCAGGCAGAATTGGCACGAGAGCAGCCACAGGCGTTTGCCCTCCTTTATGTAAGCTCATGTTAGAACTGTTTTACATTAAAACTGCTTTAAATTGAATTATATAAAATTGATTTTATATTAAAACTGGGACTGCTGAGCCCTGGGAGAACAAGGAAAACCTGACGTCATGGCTAATGCTATAAAGGGCAATTTCCAGCAAGGGCCCAGTTTATACTTTTGCCATGGATGCGGAGCTTGGCACCAGCGCCCAACGCTGCGGGAGGGATGGGGCCGGAGCCCTGGGGCTCTCTGTGCAGAGAGGCCTGAGTCCACAGTGCCAAGGGGGTCCCAGTCCAGACCAGTGAGCCCTCCTGGAAGCTGGGGGCTGAGGACCCCCTGCCCTCAGTGTCTCTTCCCAAGACTGAAGCAGACCCCACACCCACAGGCCTGGCAATGGTGATGGGCTGGGGCAGGCAGCAGGAGCTGCCAGGCTCTGGGGACATGGCAGGGGGACAGTGCAGCTCTCTCACCTCTAGTCCTGACATGTGAACACTGTGCTGCTCTGCACTTGCTTTTGAAGTGTAGTAAACATAGTATTTAAAAGAATAAATTTTTTAATACACAGCTTTTCTATAAACAAGGACATGGCTTGCATAATAAACTAATAAAAATAACCTGCATTCTAGTCTGCAAAGAATGCGATTGGTTTCAAAACAAGCAGCATTTTATATGATAATGAAAAGCAGAAAACTCGCAAGACATGAGATTGAGTATTTTTCTTGGACTGAATGTAGGAGCTGAGAACACATCTCTGTTTTGGGGGCAGTGACACCTCCCGACTGCCAGAGAAAATTTAGCATAGTCGGGGTCAGAGTGAGATCCAGCATGGGATGCAGCATGGATGGAATTAGTGGAAGAGTTTTGCTCCAGGGCCATATGCTCTGGGCCCTGCTCGTCCTTGGCACAGAGGCACCTCCAAGCAGGGAGGCAGCAGGAGGTGCTGGACCCCTGGGCATATGCCCATAGTTAGTGTCTGCCCCACACAGGCATGTGTGCTGGGAGGCAGTGGGCTGGGGTGGGCACTGCTGGGGCTCTGTGCACAATTGGTGGCTGCTTCTGGGTCCTGCTCCTCAGCATGGGCACTGCTGTGACTCTTGTGCCTGTGCTCAGCACAGCTCTGGCTCCTGTGGCCTTTGGGGACGCAGCCACGAGTCCCCATGCTGTGAGTGTGTCAGTGCTGCAGGACCCTGGCCCTTGCTTTGTCCCAGTTCCTGCCCTTCCTGCCAGTGGTTTGGGGTCACAGCTGGTTCCTGCATAGCCCGGCACTAACCACTGCCTCTCTCCTGCTCTTCCAGTCAGCACCGAGCTGAGTCAGGGCTGTGCCAGAGGCTGTGACCTGTGCTCTGAGTTCAATGGGTGCCTGAGGTGCTCCCCCAAACTCTTCATCCTTCTGGAGCGGAACGATATCCGGCAGATTGGGATTTGCCTGCCTTCTTGTCCACTGGGATACTTTGGCCTTCGCAATACGGACATGAACAAGTGCATCAGTGAGTGTGGGGCTGGGAGGTGGCAGTGCTCTGCAGGGCAGTACGTGCCTCTGCTCAGGTGCAGGAGGTGCTGTGGCTGTATGGAAGAGGTGAGGCAGGGCTGAGCATGGCAGCCTGAAAAGAGCCCTGCTCAGCACCTCATGAGCATGTTGTGCACGTGGGATCTTGCAGGACATCTGGGCAGTTTTGTTATATGGGCTGCCAGACTGGCAGCCTTTGGGAGGAGGGAGATCCTTTCAGGCATTTTGTGCCTCTTTTCCTGCTCTATTGCCCACCAGACTCAGGCGGCTCTGAGTGAAATCCTTGGCTTGCATCTTGTAGCCAGAGCACCAGAAAGAGCTGGACATGGAAATATGCAATCAGTCCCCTGGCAAGTCCCTGCACAGCACCCTCACAGCCAGGTTTCCATCTAGCTCCCTTTCCATGCAGCCTGTTCTGTAGCTGCAGCTGGAGCCGGGACTATATCCTTTGCACCGTCCCCTTTGGCTGACTGATGCTCAGCTGAACACCAGCCCAAAACTTTCCCGCCCTGCCTGATTCTGTCCTGGCAGTGGCTGTTGCTGGTCATGAGAGCTGCAGGCCAGGGAATGGTGCAAAGAAAGCTCACTTCTGAGTGGCAGCCTGGCAGGAAGCTCAGAGACATGCCCTGGTTGCTGCGAGATCCCTGGGAGCCAGGACTGGCAGTGTGGAGCTTCTTAAGTCTTTTGTTCACATTGGCTTACATGATGGCTTTGGTGTTTGGTTTTTTTTCCCCAGAATGCAAAATTGAGAACTGTGAGTCCTGTTTCAGTCGAAACTTTTGCACAAAATGTAAGGAAGGTTTGTATTTGCACAAAGGGAGATGTTACATCACATGCCCCGAAGGCTATGCTGCTGCCAACGGCACCATGGAGTGCAGCAGTCCTGGTAAGCAGCCCTGCACTCCGCTGTCTGGGCATGGGTAGTGCTGCAGCGGGGTTTAGATGATGAACTGAAATCCTCATCATACCTGTGTCGAGGGGGTGCCAGCACAACCCTTTTTGGGGCCCTCAGGGAACCAGCCTGGGTGGGGAGCAGCCCCAGGTGTTTGTCAGCTGTTACCCAGAGCTGGCAAGGAAAGGGGTGCTGGGGGATTTAAGAACCTGCTGGGGCAACCCACACACACTCCCTTGAAGCCTAAGGTGGGGAGAGAGGCAGGGGTGGGATCAGGGATGGCCTGAGTCAGCAGCCCAGGAACAGGAGTTACAGCTGGGCTCTCTTGTTATCGGCAGCACAATGTGAAATGAGCGAGTGGGGGCCGTGGGGGCCCTGCTCCAAGAAAAGGAAGCTCTGTGGCTTCAAGAAGGGCAACGAAGACCGAACACGGCGGATTCTGCAGGCTCCCTCTGGGGACGTGTCTCTGTGTCCTCCAACCACAGAGGTGCGGCGATGCACGGTGCAGAAGAACCAGTGCCCCGAAGGTGAGCAGAGCTGGGGGGGTCTCACCATCCCTCCCCACACCCTGTAGAGGTCAGGCACAAGGAGTCAGCCAATTGTCCAGTGTCACAAATGTGCTGTGCAGCTCCTGACTCCTCTGAAGTGCAGGGGATATGGATGTGACGGCACTTGGAAGAGCTGCAGGTGGAAGGGGCAACCGCCCCCAGGAGGGTGATCCTTGGCACAGCTTGCCATGTGTACCACAGGTTTCAGCTGTTTTAGTTTCTTCCCTGGCCAGAAAGCAGCCAAGGGTGCATGCCTGTGTGCTGCTGTGATGGGAGTTGTCTTCTCTACCAGAATGCTTAGGTCTGTTTATCCCAGGAATTAGTGTGTTCAGGACGAATGGTGGTTTGGCTGTCTTGTTACAGAATGGACAGGGATTGCAGCTGTGTTGAGTGTCCTGAGGGGAAAGGGCTCTGAGCAGTGATTAAATGCACAGTAATTAATCAGCAGGGCAGGGGGAGCTGGACAGGGCTGATCTGTTCCCCGATGCCTCACTCTACCTCGCACTACCTCTTTGCTTTACTGCAGGGAAAAGGAAGAAAAAGGAAGAACAAGGAAAGCAAGATAATGGGAATAGAAATCGGAAAGACACCAAAGGCACTAAGTCTGGCACCAAGAAGAGGAAGAACAAACAGAGAGGGGCCACGGTGCCTGCGACGCTCGCTAGCCCTGCCCAGTAGCTGGCCCTGTGCATCACCTGATGGCAAGACTCCATTGCTGCTATGTATATGAAAGCTTTATTGAACAGAGCACTGCTACACCATGTACACGTGTCCAGAGACAGACATATACTCCAGACTGACCCAGAGGCCACACACACAGTACTTATGGAGGCTGCACACACCCCCCGCCCAGGACTGTGGAAGAATGCCGCTGAGGAGTGGGAGCACACATGGAGGCAAAGCCCATGGCCCCAGGGCTCTGTGGGGACACTGCAGGGAGGAGAGGTGGAGCATAAATCAGTGAAGGACCCAGACGTCGGACTGATTTCATGATCGAAGGCCTCAACTGGAGCCCAAGCACGTGGTCCCAGCACAGCCCCACTCAGCCAGGGGATGAGACTGAACCCACATGGCCACTCTCCCTGACCTGGGACCCTGACACACACAGCAGTGGCCTCTTTCTCTTCCCTCACCCCTTATTTTGTGTTTTAAGCTGTATGACTTTATCATTGCGAATACATGTTAAAAGTTTGTGGTAAGAGGTCAGTGGTATCTGCCCTGAATCTGCTTCAAAGAATTATTTCAAATTAAAAAAAGAAAAACAAAATCAAAATGACAACCAGCTTCCTGAGTGTGTGGTTCATACCTTGGCCCCTATGGAGGCTGGTGTCCCACAGGACAGAGACTCACTTGTGGAAGGGAAACTCACCAAAGCTTTACGAAAATCCCAGAAAATGCTGCCAGCTGCACTGCAGCCACAAATCAGCTGTCCTGCGTGAGGGACCCCAACTGCACCCCGCTGAGCCCCAAGGAATTCCCCACTGAAGGATCCACTTAACACACAGCAGATTGAGAAAACGAGAGGTCACAACAAACCACAAGCTGCTGAAGCATTGTGACTTGGCTCAGACAGTCACAGCAGCAGGACAATCCTGGGCTGGGGACAGCCGGTCCAGCTGCCGGCCACCACCCTGGAGCGTGGCAGGAGGGAGGCAGGTGGGAGGGGGAAGGCACAGCTCAGGTCCTGCAGAAGAGAAACAAAATTTTAAATTGTCTGCATCCCACTGATTGGAATTTCCCGGATTCTCCTGCTCTGCGAGAGCTGATACCTGAGCAGAGGAACTGGGACAAGGACTGTGCAAGTTCTGGTGAGCCCTGTGTGGGACGTGTGGGTTCGCTGCCTGCTCTGCTCAGGGAGCTCTTCCTTTGGCAGGGTGGCTCACCATCACCGCCCTGGGATTTTAAAATGTGCTTTCTCTGTATAAATATGTAGAGCCACATTTAATTTCTTGAGAGTTCAGCAGAAGCTCTCTGGTGCCAAGGATGGTGCTGTGGCTCACAGAGATGTGCCGTGGGTAGATCAGGGATGTGCTGCTGGAGCTGCAACTCCCCTGGTAGGGCAAAGGGCAGGAGAAAGCTCACCCCAGACTAACCCTGGTGAGTCCAATCTTCACTGTGCTCCCTTCCATACCACCCTCTGCTCTGTGATTTTGGAGGGCAGAGTGAGCCAACAGGCATGCAGGGCAGCCTGTGAGAGAGCTCCCCATCCCTCTGAGGGGTCACCTGCCCACACCCACAGCTCTGGTTCTCTCCTGTAGCTTGTGGCGCCCACCGAGGACTTGGCTCTGGCACAGGACACCCCAACTTCCTTCACCCATCAGGGCTGCCTTGGCTTGGTGCAGGATGTGGAGGCTGCACAGTTGTTTTGTACCAAGCTCTCCATGACTGCTCTGCTGGCAGAAAAACCTTTCAGCCTGTAGTCCACTTTGTGTTTAAGTAAACAAGAAGCTGTTACATCTTTGAAAGGGGATTCCATTTCAGCACAATGATAAACGACCAGCATACCAAGCAGGGGGAGAAAGACGTTCTTAAAAGTCATCCTTTAAATTGTTTACGGCTTGTGTTCATAGGATTTCTGAAAGCTTCCCAGCTGAATGATCCAGTCTTGCTCTATTTTCTAGCCTGTGAGAGAAGTATTTTGTTTGTGCCATGGCATTGCTTGTAAGCAGAACCATTTTCCCTTCTTCTTACCAACACCCAGCAGTGACCCGCTGGTGAAGCTCAGCTCTCTCACTCGCTGTGCCTCCCTCCTGGTGCCCGATCCCCACAGAGTTCTCAGTGAGGATTAAGGAAAAGAGAATGCATTAGGAAAGTTTTCCACATGAGGCTCTGGTAATGACTTGATTCCCTACAGTAACTCCTGGCACTATTAGCACAACTATTTCAAAACTAAACTGCATGTAATAAATCAACAGAACCTATTTTAGAGAACTCTAGGGATTATTAGAAAAACTGACAAACTTCTTTCTGTTGTAGCCTTTCCCCTACTTTCTTCCTTTTTTCAGAACAAAATGGGAAGAAAAAGGGACAAAGGCAACAGGAAGTTTAAGATGCATATTAAGAATATCCAAGATTTTTCAGTAGAGGTGATTTTAAAATTAAATTGTTTTAGAATAATTAGAAGAAAAAATATGAAAAATAAATCAAATTTCTTTTTTTTTTTTTTAATCAGCTCAAGGATTGTGCTTATTTCCACTCCCAGAGAGCTGGTTCAGTTATGAATTTAGGAACATTTTGCCTTTGACCAATGTGAACTGCTCACTGAGCTCCCCAGTCCAAGCTGAGGTGTCCTTAGCTGGGTGACGTCACCTCAGCTCACACACACGTGAATGCTCTCTTTCCACGCACTAGATAGCCCTGTTGTGATGTTGTCTCCATGGCATCACTGTAAAATACAAGTCTTTAAACAAATAAATCAATAAATGGGTTTGCTGAACCAGCTTCATTTGTTTATTCACCAAAACTGGAGTCACACCAAACTAATCAAAAATGTCCGCAGACATAGTGAGCCTCTCCTAAGAGCCTTCTGCCTACATCTGAGAGCCATGGATCATGGATGGGAATGTCAGTGCTCTGACTCCTGCACGTATTCCCACTCTGTGCTTTGATCAGCTTGATGCTGAACTGGAAAAGCAACTGCTGGATGCACAGACAGACAGAGAGATCCTTTGTAACTCGACTGCCAGGAAACAGCTTCATTTTCCCTTCTGAACAACCTGGACAGAATTCCATTAACTCAGAATCTGAAGGATGGTTTCTACTGCTTTTCCTCAGCTTTTGAGCAATACATCTTATGCCATGGGGGGAACAAAGGGCCAGGAATAATGGACAGCTTGCAGTCGTGAGTTTAGAACTGTTTAATTTCTCTCTTATTTGCTGAGATTTGGAACCTAAACCAGATGAATGTCACCAAACACACGTTGTTTCTATCACATTCTTAACCCTCTCTGGGTAATATAAATCTGTATTTTTCATCAGTCTGTGTGCACACACACTTCTCACACAGTAATTCACTGACCTTCCACCCTCAGAGAGGTGGAGGTAATGTATATACTCCTTACCCCATGTTTATGTTTAAATGATTTCTCACTCAGGAGAAATCTTAGCTTTGATTAAAGGAAACAAAGTAGAATAGTGAAACAGGTTATCTCCAAAACTCTATTGTTTGGATTATATTGTCTGAGAACACTAAAAGGGATAATTCAGATACATATTTACAGATTTTATGAAGTCGATAGACTTCATAGAGAGAGATGATAGGCATTACATTTTAAAAAATCCATATTAAAATTACAGAAATATAGAAAATGTATTTAATCAGTCACTATCAATAAATCACCCTGATGGCATTTACAGACATGGTAATACATCACACCCAAGTGAATACCAAACCATACTTTGGATGGAGCTGCTTGCTGGAATTTCCAGAACTTTCGATGAACAGGAAAAAGGCAGCTGGGTAGGTCAGATATTGTTATTTACAGCCTGAGGTAAAGCGCTGGTTTAGAGGCACTGACAGGACTTCAGCCCCTCCTGTGCCACAGAGGAGCCCAGTCCGTAAGGGCAGGAGTTATTTTTCATGACTGTTCCAATGAAACCACAGGAAAACATTCCTATTTAACTGCTCTGGCTTCCAGAGTGCTGGTGAACGCCAGATCCACGGCACTGGCTGTCTGCAGAGCGCAGCCCAGGGCTCTGCAGCCTGCCCAGCTCTGAGCCTGCCACACGCTCCACGGGCTCGACCCCGCTGGCACAGCTCAGCCTGGGCTCTCCAGGCCCTCTTACACCTTTTTGCCTTTTTTCTTGACTTCAGTTTTCTCCTACCTCCCAAGTTCCCCTGTTGCTTTCAGGCACCATTTTGGGAACTCCATATCCAAAGCAACAATCCAGGATTGCTTTGTTTTTCCTGTTCAAGAGCTGTCACACCTTTTGCCAAGGAGCCCTACCTCCTACTCCTGACTGCTGTATCCCTGGGAAGCCATGCCTGAGGAACTGAGCTGGGAAAGCTGCTGTGGTGATAAACTACCTACAATATCTTCTGCTGGGATTTTTGAAGATGAGCTACAAAATCCACTTGCATCCTTGTGCTCTGCAGGGAGCTGCTGCAATAGGGGGAGATGGCTGATACTGCTTTATCCTGTTAAATTGAACAGAGGAGCTCTATACCACACTGAAAAAGGGCTCTGAGTGCAAGTCCAGTCTTGTTCTGAACTCTTGGAAATCTACTTTTCCTTCATTTAATTGACAAAATCTGTAGATCATACGAGGAAGACAGTCCCTGCCAAAAATCCAACATCACTGTTTTTTAATAATACAATGGGAATAACCCCTCAGAACATATGTAATTATGGGAATGAGTCATTCTGATGGCATCACGTAACCACATTCACTGGGATTTGACAAAGATGAGGCCATATAAAACTCAAAATTATTTCATTTCAGCCCTGGTCAGGGCAGTGGTGCTGAGGAGCTGAGGCCATGTAGCAGAGGCGATGGAGAACAATCTGTGACCCTGTTGTCCTGGCTGGCTGTGGTACAGACAGTGTCCTGCTGCAGCCAGTGGTAATAGAATGAGAAAAAGCTGAAGATTGAAATGGGGGGATGCATCAATATCAAAAGAAAAGCTGTGAGTCAGAGCAACAAAACATCAGTGGAGTAAAATATCTGGCTCACATGTTATCAGATACACAATAAGCAGCTGCAGCCTTGGGGATGCTTCAAGTTAAACACCAACTGCTGATGATAAACTGGCCCCAGTGATGGAATTTGGGTCAGGGAATATGTGAGAGTGAGCAAAGTGCTGCAGGAAGGTGCCAGTTGGAATGCAGGTCCCACACATTTCAGTAGGATCTTTCCTTATGACAGGCTTGTAGCCCACCCCAATGGAGATGTGGTATGGCTGGGTAAGGGGCCTGTGCTCTCCCACCAATGCTTCCAGCCTGGGAATTCAGCACTCAACTCCGGGGCATCCTCAAGACAAGTTCTCCCTGCCACAACCTCCTGCCCAAAGCTAGCTGGGTTTGTTCTCTCACAGAGAAGGAGACTTTCTGGCTGCACCCCAAGATCTCCTGATAACAATAAAGAGGGAGTTTTCTTAAGGGAAAGGAAGAAAGAGTTCGGGAGAGCAGAGCAAAAGTATTACTCAACTATTTAGTCTAAAATTTTGAAAATCAAAAGGCTCTTCTGACAGATTGATATCGACTCTAATAGAAAACACACTTGTCCCGGGAAAACTCTTCTACATGAGCCTCGAGTCTGATAGCTTAAACAATTATCTACAATTTGGAATTGATTTTTTATGCCCACATCAATGTGTACTTTTTCAATGCCCAAGGCACAGATAATTCTATTAAGAGAAAAACCAGAATGTGTAGG